CGTGAGTTTTGTTGTAACTTTTTTTTTAAAAATCTTAGGAACTTTTTTTCTTTTGTTGTAAATGTTGAGAGAATCGCCCGCTCGCCTTTCTCCCTCTAATTTTGGTTCGTACTCGCCCTATACTCTGTTTCTTTTTCGTTCCTGCCGTTTCTCTCCTGCAGATTTTAATAGTAACTGCAGATTCCTCAACCAGTCACTTCTCAAAATAATCATTTAAGAAAACGACAAGCGCCGCAGGCTCGGAGAGCTCGGTAATAACTTGTTTCTTAGCTGCTATCTCTTCGCTATAACTATTTTTAATGGGTGTTAAATATTATGTTACGGCTGGGACGGATAACAGAGAATGAGGTGCAAAAAAAACCCAGATTCATCCTTATCGATCAACAGTAAGAAAATGCTTTTAATATCACCCAGATATTCAGGGATTCGATACAGCGTTTTGTCTAAACCATAACTGCATTAAGTAAATAGAATGGAATACACTAAACTAGCAATGCAAGCCTATTGTAACGAAGCGCCGGGTGCAGTTTGTACGTAGCAACGTACATTAAGTTGGATTTATAGACCTGATGTGCGTATAGATTCAAATGTAAAATTGCGTTTATAAATGCGCTAAACTCTAACCACGGTGTGTCATGATTTATGCATCTCGCAAGTTGACTGTACACGCTCTCTACAATGTCTGTCTGCAGACAGTCTGAGCTTGTGTTTGTATACACTGTAGATGTATTTCTTTAACATCCAATTGCATTACATTCCTTCCAGTGGCTGGAGTTAAATGTACAAAATTAAACCTAATGTCTAATGTTGCTTATAGGCGCTAAATTAAATCCACACATTAACTGTATTGTCCCTATGTAAATGGACATAAGCAATGCCTTTGTACATTGTAAATTAATGATATGTAGTCGACAGTGTTTGTAAATCTGTGCAAAAATAAGTAGTATTTATGTACACAAACGTATAAACACATCACAAATATTGCTTACTTAAATGTACAATATCAAATGTACACCATAAATATTGTTTATTTTAGAAAGCACACATTTTTTGTATTTTCTGCAGGCAGTGTTTACATATATAAACATAAAATGTAATATGTACGAAAAACAGTGCATACATGTCTGTTAAATAACGAATATTTGTTGTACATCGCGTTTGTAATAAGAATAATGTCACCCTATGCGTAGTGGGGTTTTTTTCTGCTTCATGAATACAAGTGCACTAATACTGTCCACTTCTTGTAAAACACTCTGTCATGTTTCCACGTGTAACATCACTCCACGTAAGGTTTATCGGAAATGCAAATACATCAAAGGTTATACATACGAGATGTAACTGTCGATGCAAATACAGGAACAATTCGTGTCATTTTATAATGCGACTGGGTAACAGAGCTCACGCGAGGTGAATCTTACAGCGGCCGGAATGTTCTTGCTCCCGTTTAGCAATTTGAAATTAGCACGGGCTGACGCTGCTCATTTGAACTTGACATGTTCAAAGTTCCGTGAGTTGAGTGATTACATTTGTCCCACGGCCCAATATATGTTTTAATTAATCTCCCTTTACAAAGTTAAGACCAGTCGGTGAGGGTGAGAGGTGTGAATTTTTCTAGGGTTTCTCTCTGTAATTGATCCGATTCACAACAACAATATCGCTGATTAATACAGACCCAGCATTTTATGTAGCCGAGTGAAGGTGTTTTGCGTTCAAAGATATTAAAGTCCTCTCTCGATGAAGGACCCATTGGTCCCCTCGGTGGCTGAGCGAGAAATAATCTCTCAGCAAGAGCCCATTAGAAAGTCAGACAGAGAGAGAGAGAGATCAGTTCTCTGTGGCCGGTGTCAGGAGCTGAGCGATCCTTAACCAGAGACTATAAATCCCCCAGATCTTCAACATCACTCTTATTTTCACCTTCAGCGAAAAGTTCCATGCTGCAGCAGCAACACGCGGATCACGAAAGAGTCGCTAATTTTAGTTTTGTCAATGTATTCCGCACCCACCCCCCACCCCCACCCCAGCCACCCTATCCCTTTACAGGGAAATTATGTTCTTCATTGGAAATCTCCGATCAATTTTTTTATTAAAACAGCCCTGGGCTCTGGCGGCCGCCGTGAACGGGGTAACTTTTCGGAGATATTGTGGGCCTGGGCTATCTCGTGGACAATGGTGTGAACGCTGTTTGTAAGCAGGGCCTGTTCTCCGACTTTAACAGTCTGTTGTAAACAGCACAGGAAGAAAAAGACAGATTCCTCCAGAACTTACTCCGATCTCGGTGCAAAGTCTAGGACTAGCGGAGATAGTTAAACACCCGGGTCGAAATGCTCTGCTGACAGCCACCGCCACTTCTCTCTGTGACGGAGTGTAAAACGCCGCTTGGTGTTTCCACTTTTCCGTTTTTACACCCACTCCAATGTACCTTGAATTCGTATACATTCTGTGTAAATAGCACATGAGATGCTGTTTATGGAGACAGAGGCTGTGCCACGTAATTAATACTGTACACATCCAGACCCTGTGAATTAACTCTGTAAAAACATACACCTGTTTATAATAGTGTCGATATAATCACGCCTTATACTGTATATTTAATATGGTGTACATGCCAACCCGAGAAGTTTATTCTAGTATTTAACTTAGTGCATTTATACAAAATATTCAACTTTCTACGTATTAACAACACTGGATTTCATAAACATTGCACTTAATTTAGTTAAGCTTTAATAGGCAATTAAACCATCGAACATTTGGAAGGGTTGTTTTAATTCCCTACATAAAGGGGAGTGAGTGAGACTAGGGTGATGGGGTTCACAGACATCAGTTGTAAATGTTTTTATCCGTCATATGCAGAGTATGTTCCAGTACGTTTTGTGATCTGTGTGTTTTCTTTGGAAAGGTCCGTACTCCCCGAGATTTTAGTTTTCCGGGATCTGCATGTGTTTCTTTTTTGTCGTTTAGCTGACTTCATCACCAGAAACGGTGAAAACGTTTGAAAGATAAAACCGTTCATCAAACTGTTTCAGCTGTTAGGAAAGTGGGTCGTACTGAAAGGGGTGCTTTACATCGATTCAGGGCAAATACAGATCAATTTCTGAAAAAAAACGAGTAAACACTAAATGTCCTCATTACTTTAATGAAATGTGTCATGAAAAATCGCAGTTTAAAATTCCTTGTAAGGAAATTAATTCTCGTTAAGAGAAGACTTTTCAATGGGAGGCAGTCTTTCCCTTGATTTTTGCTAAATGTCCATTATTTCATTCAACTATTTTTTTTTAAATTGTTGAAATACACTAACTGTGACATTTCCAGCAATATCTAACCGGTTCCGAAGCATGCACTAAACTGCAATCAGCCAAATAACTGTGATCACTCCTGAAGTCGCCTCTATTTGCCTTGCTTTTATTACCCTCGTTTAAGTTATTCAACCCGTTTGTATAATTAAATAGGAAGGTTCTGAAAAACTAATAAACCATCGCCTTGTTGCTGTTTTTTATAAAATCGTCAAATGATTCTAACACGCGCTGATAAAACGCTAACTTTATTGATGTAAAATTGTGCTCCCGCTTTCCATTTCTCTCCGAACAAGGATGTCGAGCGTGGCGCTGGGACGAATCTCGTTTGATTCTCAACACTTGGGGCTTTTTTTTTAGTCTGGGCGTGTCTAGGGACCGTTGTCAAATGCCAACTTGTCTTAAATAAACTCTACATGGATATAAACTCTATTACTGGTTTACCGGCAAGGAAAGTTGTGGGATGTAGAGATTAGTCGAGCAAATCTATCTCTCTGTCTTCCGTCCTTTATTTAAAAGAAACTGAAGGCCTTTCTGCTTGTTCCTCCCTCCCTTCCCAGCCCCAAAATCCCTGAAATCCGGGAGTCTCCCCGTTCCCCTGCCCCGAACCACCATCGCAAGTTTCTCCAGCAGAGGAATCGGAACAATTAAATGGGGAATTGCTCGAAACCCTCTCTGGAATTCCAGACAGTTTTATTTTAAACAAAACGAATTGCGCTTATAGCTAAACATTTAAAAAAAAAGAAACTGGAGAAGTTCAATAGATCTGAGGAGAGGGAAACAGCCTGAATGTTTCGAGTCCAACATGACTCGGAATCGGAACTGACACAGTATTGTCACAGTGGGCCTGGGAAAGCGGGGAGCCGGACCGCAGCTTTCTCTGGAGAGCGGACCCATGAGATTGTCAGCTTGTGATTTATTTTCGAACTTAGTTCTACCCCTTTTTTGGTGCAAGACAGGAGATATTACATTCAATTCGTTGGGTGGGAATAATAATAATGCCTTAAAACAATGTACAGTCTAGAAACGATGCCGAACGGCCTCGTGTCAAACTTGCCAGCTCCGTGAGTTTTTCCTGCGCTCGGCTCAGCGGGCCTGTCTCAGACTCTGGGACAATCTGGAGTCCAGGTCGAAAGGAGCAGTCAGCCCGCATATACACCCACAGGAATGAAGGGCTGGGGGCAGTGGGGAGTGCTGTCAGTGAACCTGGAGGTGGGGGCTTTTGGGGTGGGGGGAGGGTATTACAAGGACAGTTGGCCGCCGGATAGAAAGCTCATTTGGGAAATCGCTAGCGTTGCCCAGTTTTGTTCGATATTGAATTTTGTCTGGTTAAATATTCTGGACGAGTCCACACTCTTGAGGCTCGGACCTCGCCCCTCGCTGTGGATTTGCTATCGCTTAGCCAATGGCTGGGGGCAGGGGGAGGTCTTCACTTACAGCCAGTGAGAGACTGAAGAGGAGGAGGAGGAGTGTGGGGAGATGAACACATCCTCCAACCCAATGGAGTGCCGGAGAGATGATAGCTCCCACCTTTCTCCTCTCTCAGAACTCACCTTGACTCCACAAAGTCCCGCTTACCAACATGCTTCCTGGATTTCCTGAACTAACCAGGATTTTCTTGTAAAAAAAATTGTGTGTCTCTCTCTCTGTTGGGGAAGGAGAGGGGGACAATTATTTTGGGGGGCTTTGGGGTGGGGTCTCCTTTCAGCAATGGATCAGTCTGGGACCACGCAGACCCAGCCTCAACACGAACCCATCAGCTTTGGCATCGACCAGATCCTCAGTGGCTCCGATCAGGAAAGCTGCCTGCAGCCCAGCGCCAGGGTCTCGGAGGCAAGCTACTTGAGCAGTCCGGTTAGCGGCGCCTACCCGGGCTTAGCCACCGCTTACCCGGCCATGGGGGCCACTTACGAGGACAGCGTGTCGGGATCTTATAGTGTTAACCTGAGCATGAACGTCAACAGCCTGGCGTCCGCCGGAGTCATCCGTGTGCCCGCTCATCGCCCAGTCCCTCAAACGGCCATGCCTACCGTGCCTAGCGTGGCCGGTCTGAGCGGCCTCAACTTCCCTTGGATGGAGAGCAGCAGGAGGTTTGCTAAGGACAGGCTGACAGGTAAGGGGAGGATAGGGGTGGAGAGGGGTCTGACTGAAACCCGGTGTCCAGAGTTGGCACATCATAAATCCCCAAGTCCCTCATCCCAATAATTCCAGACACCTCCCCCGCAAAATACCCCTCCCCACACACAATGTCAGCGAGCAGCCCCAACAGCTGGTGGCAAAGTTTGCGCATTTTCGTCCAACTCTAGCGCACTTTGCAAATTCCATCTCGTTCGGTCATTCTCCACGATCAATGGTCAATTAAAATTCAAATATTACCCAAAGACCTGCGGATGCTGGAGATCTGAAGCAAAAAACAGAAATTACTGGAAAACGCAGCAGATCTGGCAGCATCTGTACAGGGAGAGAAACACGAGTTAACATCTCGGATTCAGTGACCCATTGCCGGAATTCGGTTAGTACACAATTCGTCAGATATTGCAGATTTTTGTTCGTAATTTCGAGAACACTTAGTGCTTGCTCGGAATGACATTGGCTTGATAGAGATTGGTTTTGGGTTTTTGGATTTGGCGATACTGATGAGAATTTCAAACGGTCAGCCGAGGGTTCTGGCGATGTGTTCAAACTGAATTAGTAAAAATGTAATAACAAGCCTAACTCAGGTTAAGGCAGCGGGGTAGGAGACTGTTCATGAGGGTTTAATGTGATCTCTGAAATCGTTAAGACTAGGATCCGCTGGTAATGATTGACATGTGGTCATTTAGAATGGTGTCAAATCAAAAGAGAGACAATCCTTCTCGACTCCATTTTAAACAGGAGACCCCCGACTTTTAATCTGTGCACGCCATCCCCCTGCACCCTACCTCACAAGTCCCAGATCCCTCCCCCCACCTTTCCCCTGTCAAAACCACTCAGAATCTCATTTGTTTCAGTAAAATCCTCCGTCATCCTTCGAAACCCCAATCAATACAAGTCCACCCGGATTAAACCGACTTCAAAATACAGCCGCCCCCAACCCCGCCCGCCCCCACTGAGGGAATGAGTCTGGTGTCCGACACTCAGCTGAAGCTCTGGTCCAGCAGAACACAGTCCTGTTCCAGACAGACCAGCTCCGAGCCCTAGAGAGATCATTGTATCTACAAATCGCCAGCGAACGTCTTTTATTGTAAATCATTTCCCTTTCCATTGTAGACTAAGTTTTTATTTTAAACACTAATCAGTACGATATACAAGATGCATCTCTTTCCCAAATAAAACGACCCCTTCAGTCCTCAACAATCAAGGCAAGAAAAGCGATTTAAACTGTTACCGCTCACCGCCAAAGAGCATCCGAAAGCTGGCTGTTTCTACGCTAACGCTGGAGCTCCCCGAGGTTTAGAAGCGGGGAATCGGCCATCCACACCGTGTCCTCGCTGCACTTTCTTCTGGATCACCTCCCAGCAGCTCCTCCTGGAACATTTAGAGAGCCGAAACCGTGACCGTGACAATCTCTTGTCACTGCTCAAGTGGTTGACTTCCTACCAGTCAGGCTCTGTTCTTTTAAAATATATCGAATTGGTCAAAAAAAGTTTTGTTTGCAGTTTTCAAATAGAGCCTTAGCTCGAAAGAATCAATTTGAAAGACTACATTTCAGACACAAGAACTTCCTATCTGCTATATTTTACAGAAATTCTACGGTATAAATGCAAGACTCTAAATTTCATTTATGTTTGTTTTAAAATCCGTTAAGTTCAAAATTGAACGACTTGAAATCGCTAATCGCTTTAGGAAAACAGTGTATGTGTGATTATGGCTGGATTCAGCAGTGTTTGTGGTGAGCCGCTGTATGTGCGTATGAGTGTGTCTGTGTGTGAGTGTGAGTCTGAGGGGCTGTGTGTGGTCGAGAGTTTGAGGGAATGTGTTTGAGTGTGAGTTTGAGGAGTGTGTAAATTGTGAGTTTGAAGACGAGTATGCGTGCGTAATTTGGAGTTTGAGAGAGGGAGTGTATGTGTGAGTTTGAGTGTGGGTCTGTGTGTGGTTGCGAATTGGAGGGAGTTTGTGTGTGGGTCTTTGCGTGAGTCTGAAGGAAGCGTCTGTGTCTGTGTGTGATTGTGAGTTTGAGGGAGGGAGTGCCTGTTTGTGTGTTTGAGGAAACATGTGTATGCGTGTGATTGTGGGTTTGAGGGAGTGTGTGGTTGTGTGATTGTGAGTTTCAGGGAGTGTGCGTTTTGTGTGATTGTGCGTTTCAGGGAGAGAGTGCATGTGTAAATGTGAATTTCAGGGAGGGAGTGAGCGTATGATTGAGTTTGAGGGAGTGTCTGTGTGTATTTGTGAATTTGAGGGAGTGAGTGTCTGTGTGATTGTCAGTTTGAGGAAGGGGGAATGTGTGTGATTGTGAGTTTGAGAGACTGTATAATTGTGAATTTGAGGGAGTGTCTGTGTGATTGTGATTTTGAAGGAGTGTGTATCTATGTGATTATGAGTTTGAGGGAGTGTGTGTGAGAGAGAAGGGAGTAGTTTAAAGTTTCTTCCTTCGTCGTGTTTACTTGTTCTGGGAAAGAGTCTTATATTCAAAAATATTTGGGAGCGAAGCCGATCTCGGCTCTGCCAAGTCTGCTGGAGTTCACTGAGGCGCCTGTTCCCTCTGCTTCTGTTAGCAGCCTTGACTCCTTTCACCGTGACACGGCGGATCGGCCACCCTTACCAGAACAGGACACCCCCGAAGCGGAAGAAGCCCAGAACCTCTTTCACCAGGATTCAGATCTGTGAGCTGGAGAAGCGCTTTCACCGTCAGAAGTACCTCGCCTCGGCGGAAAGGGCGGCGCTGGCAAAATCCCTTAAAATGACCGACGCTCAGGTCAAGACCTGGTTCCAGAACCGCAGAACCAAGTGGAGGTGAGTGGGGGCTGATTGGAAGGAGGGGATAGAGGATGTGAGGGCGGTAGGGAGACAAAGAAAGAGAGAGAAATACTGAAGGGGGAGAGAAGGATAGAAGGAAGGAGAGAGAATGGGGGCTAAGTAAAATTTGTTCACCACTAAACAGGGAAGCTGTGATAGTGGGTGAAATTCTCACATTTAAAAATACAAAAGGAGCAGCAAGAATTTAGGCTTTGCCTGCATTAGTTATAACAAAGGAGAGAAAGTGAGTTAAGTTAATAATTATCAGAGGAACAGAGGAGGGGATTAACATTTATATGTAGGGAAGTGACGAAAAGCTAACTTTAAATGAATCTATATAAAACACGAATGCAAAATACTGCGGATGCGGGAAATCTATAATAGAGGTTGCTGGAGAAACTCAGCAGGTCTGGCAGCATCTATGGAGAGATTCTGACCTGGTGGCTATTCCCAGCATTTTCTGATGATTTTACTTATTAAATAGCGTTTAATAATAAGGAGATCAATTGTAATTATATTTTAAAATGTTTGGAAAATAAAACAAAGTTACTCAATTGAAAATAGAGAGTGGTGGCAAGGACTGAAACAGTGAAGTCTCGACATTTAAACACAGCGGGTAGTGATAGGGAGAGTTACATTAAAACAGAACGAGATACCCGTGACCCGAGATAATAAAGTAATATAATTAAAAGACAAATATGGAGATGCGGAAAATATTGAATAAAATGCAGCGAAACTATCTAAAATTAACACATTTGAACTCGAGGTAGAAAGTAAAATGAATAGAATTACACACAGATGGTTATAGCCTGTTATTGGAAACAAAGTCAATAGAATTTACAAAGGGAGATGTTAAAATGAGGAATTGAAACTGCAGAGATTGAGAGTGAAATTAATGGAATTATAATACGGAGAATTAATAGTTAAAATACAGAGAGAGGCAGTGAAATCAATGTAATGAAATATGGATTTCGAATAAAATTAATATATTTAAAATGCAGGAATGAAACAGAAAATTAATCGAATTAAAAAGCACAGATTGAGTGTCGCGGTAACCGGAATTAAATTACAGGGAAAGAGAATATCATTAGTCCAGTTAAAATATAGAGATAGAATAAAATTATTACATTTAAAATGCAGGTATGGAACGGGCAGAGACAGTATAAATAGAACTGAAATCCAGAGACAAAGTGTCACATTAGTAGAATTAAAATACAGGGATAGAAAGAATTCTTAATGGAGTTAAAATAAAGGGGTAACTCATTAGTGGAATTAAAATATATGAATTGGGATTAATGTAACCAGAATTATCATAGAAAGATTGTGAATAACAGAACCAGAATTAAAATAAAGTTTAACGTTAATAGAACTAAATTACTAGGTCCGTGAGTAACATCAGCAGATAAAAATACATAGATAGAAAATAACATTATAGAATTAAAATAGATGGAAAGAATGAAACATTAATAGAGATTTAAAAGGTCTTAAAATTAGAGAATTACATGATAGAAACTAACAAAGACAAAATACAGCAATACAGAGTAACATTAACAGCATTAAAATACAGGGACAGAGAGTATCATTAATAGATCGAAAATACAGACGCAGAACAATGTTAATAGAATTCAAATGTGGTGTCAGGATTAAAAAAGAACTAATTTCCAAGGATAGAGTAACATTAACAGTGTTATAATAAAGGGATACAGAGTAACAGCAGTATTATAACAAAGGAATACAGAGTAGCATTGATAGAATTACAATATAGAGATATAAAGTAATGTTAAGATAATTAAAATTCAGGAATAGAGAGTAAAGTTTAATATAATTTATAGGGTCGGAGGGTAAGATTAAGTGAATTAAAATACAACGATAGAGAGTAACGTTATTAGAAGTAAATTCGAAAGATTGTCACAGAGTTTGAATATATAGACAGAGAGAGAGATTGATAGAATTAAGATTCTAGGGCGTGAAATTAACGAGAGAACCATGTTGTAATGTGGAGCTATGTTTGTAACAAAGTGAGCGACACAGTGTGAACTTAATAACGTAAATGATATGCAGAGAATAACATTCATCGACTTAAAATCGAGTTTGATAGTAAACGGAGAATACTTGAAAAACAAGGAAGTGATGTACAAGTTGATAATTATACGATTTAATAGGGAGTGACAAGGAGCGAGGATAAAATTAATGCAGAGTTCACATAGTGCGGACTGATGTGAAGACAGGCGAATATTAACATATTTTAAAGTCCAGGGAAGTGACGGAGAGTAAGTGACATGAACCAATTTTAACGTAGAAACTGAGAGCAATCGAACTAAACAATGGAAACGTGGGTAAAATTCACAGTAACAAATCGTGAATGACGCCGGGAATGTCGAGGTTCGTGAGAAATTACCCGATTTTAAAACCGCGTTCCAAAGGACTGAACTGAGACAAGAAATCACCGTGTTTGAGCCGGTTTCAAAATTCTCCTTTATCTGTGATAGGACAGCGGTCCGTGTTCCTGAATTCCGGAGCTAGGGTCCATCACATTGGTTTGCAAGAATTAGGTTTGCGGCTCCTATGTAATGCCAAGTAATCCTGTAATAACTTCCATATTATAGGAAGTTAAATACAAAGGTCTTTCTGTTGTCAGCGTTGTAGCTGGACCACAGTAACAAACCTCGGCGTTACTGCTGTCTTGTTCATTGCTGAAGCCTTTCTGGAATATGGAGATAGAAGATGTTTCTGTGTCTATGCCAGAGAGGGAGAGGGACAATGGATAAAGCGGAGACGACCGCTCGGAGGTGCTCGGTTAAAAAATAAAATCCCTCATTCCTCATGGTCAATGGGAAACTGAATCTGACCCCAGCTTTTGTTTTCATAGAAGGTTATTTTTGATGTATGTAATTTTCATTTTATTTAATAATTAAGCAAGACTCGGCTGACCTTGAAATCCGATTTTTCACCGTAGGGCTATTTTAATAAACTTTCTCAGCAGTAATAACCCCTCTGACGGCGAAACCATGACTTAAGACGAGTTGGAATAGGAATGAGAGAGAAAACCGACTGCAAACGTTGCACTTCAGTCGCGAGGAGTAGATGTACAACACAATCCAAAGAGATAAATAAATATAAGCAAATCGGGACATTTTCATTACTTAAACGACGAACATCGGCCAAAGTTTTTATTCAAATTTATTTTTGAAAAAGAAGCCATTGGGTGAGCAGGACTGCTCTGTTCACATTCGAGTGTTTTCTCTCCCTGCTAAGATGTTGATTCGTAAATTGGCTGCACCATTAGCTCCCCTTCATATGGGGATATGAAGTTCTGGAAAGTGTAATGAGGAATGTTTAAAACTAATTGTAAATGGGATTTGCAAGCTGGTTTATTTATTTTCCTGCCCCGGGTTTTGTTTATTCAAAATAATCTGGGCCAGAGAGACGGCAACTGTGCAGAGACTGACACTAATGGCTTGTTAGCGGGGACTGACCCATTTACAGCTCTCTGTCTGACGAAATAGATTCTGGACAAGATGATAACATCTGTAATAACATCAGCAAGCAGCAGCAACAGGATTATAGACCAATCTGTTATCGGAACTGCAGCCTGCAGTTCTCCCGCCGCCAAACAGGGGACTGAGGAGCTGGGGATGGGGTTTCTTATTCTCAATCTGAAGGCCAGGGTGATAGAACCGGTAATTCCAGGCCCCAAGCACAGCGTCATTTCTCTCTGTCTCTCCCTAAAATGGGAAAATCGCCCTCAGTGAATGTTTGCATGCATTTTGCTGTAAAAGTACGACGGCTCAGGTGCATTACCTTTCCCACTCCTTCTCAGTTTGAACGGCACGGAAACAAAAACAGAAATTGCAGAAGTGACTTGCAAAATCCGGCAGTTTCTATACAGAGAGAAACAAAGTGAACATTTCAAAGGCTAGACTTTTCGAAATCACTGTGGATTCGCTGAGTATTCTCTGCACTTTCTCAGTTTATTCCACATTTCCACCGTCGGCAGTGCATAATATTTAGATGACGGCTTTAAATTGGGTGTTCGTACGGAAAGAAAACCGGAACAACTCGGAATGTGAGCGTGGGTTTGACAGTGTATACCTGCGTATGTTAAACTAAGTGCGTTAGTATGTGTGTCAGTGAATGTGTTAGTGTAGGGTTTTAGTGTGTGTGTGCGTTAATGTGGGTGTGTCAGAGTGTGTGTTAGTATAGGGTTTTAGTGTGTGTGTGTTAATGTCGGTGTTTCAGAGTAAGCGTGTTAGCGGAGTGCTAGGGTGACAATATTAGAGTGTGTCCGTGTAGGCGAGTCGGAGCGAGGGTGTTTGTGTAGTGTGCTAGTGTGTGTGTCAGTGTGTGTATTACTATGAGAGTGAATGAGTGTTCGAATGACAGTGTTAGACGGGTATTTGTGTGGGTGTGTTAGAATGAGTGTGTTTGTGCAGTGTGCTAAGGTGGGTGTCTAATATGGGTGTGTCAGGGTGAGTGATTTAGTGTAGTGTGTTCATGTGAGTGTGTTAGTGGACTGTGTTAGCATGAGTGTGTTAAAGTATGTTAGTGTTTTGCATGAGTGTGTGATAGAATGTGTAAGCACTTGTGTGTGTGTGAAAGAGAGAGAGAAAGAAAGTGTCCTCTAGGTACAAGAGTGTGCTCCAGTGTGTAAGAGTGTATGAGAAACAGAAATAGAGTGAGAGCAGGAATTTGCTCCCGTGTGTGCACAAGGTGTTTAAGTGTGAATGTCAGTGAGTACACACTAGTGTATATGTGTTTGCACATGAGAGTGTGCTCCTTTGTGTGTGTGTGCATACATTTGTATGTATCTGTGTGTATGTGCATGTGTCTGTGTGTGTGTGTACACACACAAGTGTGTGTCTATATGTGTGAGCGCACGTGTGTGTCTGTGTGTGAGCATGACAGAAAGAAAGTATGTGTGCGCGCACACACATGTGCTGTGCTGTGTATAAGTAGTTGCGTGTGTGAGACAGAGTGTGCATGTGTGCATGTCTGAG